TGCATGAGGAAAGATAATTAAACACGCAAAATAGAAATATTTCTATAGATACATTTGAAAGGTGAGACACTTAAGAAAATATGCTATATTAAGTGTCAAAAGAAGTGAAGTATGACCCACACTGTGATCCTCTCTTTTGGAGAAGTAGTGATTTTGCATTGTTTAATTGTGTAGCCAAATGTCTAAAGGGCAAGGTTGCATATTCTATCTCCACTATGACCCAATAAACATTCACTTTATGGAAAAGGTAATGTAAGGCAGAAAGTGCAGATTATTTATAGGTAATCAATCAGAAGTTATTTTGATTACAATATAATAACTATTATACCATAAAGATTACTAACATTCACACATGCATATTATTATATGGCAAGGGAAATGAAACATAACATTACTAGTGGCAGTGTGTAACATTCCCTTAGAGAATGTATTTTCACTTGTGTACTGTGCTGCTCCTTCAGGCCTCAGCTCAGGATTCCTCCCTACCTCCTCCATGCAGTGAGTGCTGCTTTCAATCAGCAATCAACTCTGCCCGCCTAGCTCACCTGGGCCCTGTACTAAGAAGCCAGATTTGCACTTATAACGCTTTGTAACTTCAGGTTAAATTCATTATTGGAGCAAATCCCCACAATAACTTATGCTGAACAGCTAACCTGCTCCGGAGCACGTTAAGTTGGAGATAGGAGATCAAGCAGTATAAAAGTGCCGCCCACTGACTAATCAATTCCTTTGAAACATGACATCATCATTCTTGAGGATCCCTTGGCGCAAAAACAAAAAAAGGGAAAAAAGGATCCTGTGGAGCTCGGTGTGGATTGGATCTCTGAGGATCTCTGAGGACAGGGGTCTTCAGAGACTGACAAAATCCTTTTACCTACTCTGTTGAATGTCTTTTTGAAAGATATAGATTTTCATCAGAGGGAACAATAAACCTCTTTTTAAGCTGCTGAAGCCAAACATAACCAACCTGACACATCAGGCGCATCACCAGGGTACCAAATGTGCACAGTCACATTTTGTTAGAACAGGCGGTAGAGCATTCAGCTACCAGGCTCCTCTCCAGTGGAACCAGCTCCCACTCTGGGTTCAGGAGGCAGACACCATCTCTGCATTTATAGTTAAACTTAAAATGTTCCTTTTTGATAAAGCCTATAGTTAGTTCTGGATCCATCATGCACTGAGCACCTCTCCACTTCTCTCTGTCTCTCTGCCCCCCCACATTCATTCATTTATTTATTTTAATACATGTCAATGACTATTTCACCTATTACTCCCATAGTCTCTCTCTCTCTTTTTCTCTCTCATTTCAGATATCTCTGACCCCGCAACCTCAGGACAACAACTTTTAACATTATTACTATTATTAATTACAATATCTCAGTAATTAATTATGATATGAATTGTGCCTGTTATCAATAATAATTAATTGTCTTTACACAGTTGTTTACATTTTAACTAGTCAGATCTGATACCTGATGGCACTCAAGTGTCCCCGGTCTTTCTCACCCCCCCCTCTCCCCTACTTCCCCCACCCCACTATCCCTCTCTCTTCTCTCCCCTCTCTTCCACCCATCTCTCCTCTCCTTCCCCCATTTTTTTTGCTCACCCCAACCAGTCGAGGCAGATGACCGCCCCCACATTGAGTCTGGTTCTAGAGGTTTCTCCCTGTTAATATTTTCCCTCCACAGTCACCAAAGTGCTGCTCATTGTGGGAATTGTTGGGTTTCTCTATGTTAAATAAGATTTTAAGGTCCTGACCTTCTATGTAAAGTGCCTTGAGATAATGTACATTATGATTTGGCGCTATACAAATAAAACTGAATTGAATTGAATTGTTAGCCATGGGGGCCCGAACATTGGTCCATATTTGTTTATTGACTAGTAATTGTAAACACTTTCACCACAGTGTGTCCTCAGAGTCAATGCAGCTAAATTATGTGATTCAGTGAAACATTTCATCTCTCATCCAAGGGGCTTCTTCAGTTCAGTTTAACAGGTCTTATTAGTTAAGAAGAGATTCATATATATTCCTCTGCAAATGTCACCAGCTTACACATTATCTTGTTTCGAGTCGAATATGAATGTCAAGGATTGTGCACACTTGGATGACACCGCACGAGCATTATGGAGGTATGCTATGTTTTTTATTTTATTTTATTAGGTCTGCAGCTTCAGTTAATAGTTTCCTTAATTGGATTGGATTCTGGCACAATGTTTGCCCCTGAGACTCCTTCAAACACATCACACTATCCTTCTATCGGAGTGTAGAGTAGATAATGAGTGAATTTACATTTCTGGGTGAACTATCCCTTTAAGGAGCTTAGTATTTGTGGCAGTAGACTGTGGAGGTGAAGGGGCGGAGAGAGCACCTTCACCTGCACCACTGAGGATCAATCAGCACAGGTGAGAGCTGTTAGCTGATTGATCCTCAGACTTTAAAAGGAGGCAGCAGAGCTGCCTCGAGAAAAACACACTGGGAAAGGGAACGCACTCGGGAGAACACACTGGTTTGTCTCTGGCTGTCGTGAGGGGAACCCCGTGGCGTGGTCGAACGCCACATAGACCATGCCACGGGGTTCCCACCATGACAGCCAGAGACGAACCAGTCATAACATTCGGGGCTCAGCAACATCTTTTTATTAATACAAACAGAACTGACAAAACACTTAACTTAGAGGGACCTCTAGCTTTGCCTAGTCTCTTCCCCAGTGTGTGTTCCCCTGAGGCAGCTCCGCTGCTGCCTTTTCAAGCATGAGGATCAATCAGCTAACAGCTCTCACCTGCGCTGACTGATCCTCTGTGGTGCAGGTGAAGGTGCTCTCCCAGCCCTTTCACCTCCACATACCCCCACGCGGGATGCGGCGTCTCTCTGGAGGCCTGGAAGGTGGGCGCCGCTGCACGGGCACCTTGGACCCCGGAGCAGGAGTGTGCCGCCATCCGGGGGATCTACCCATGGAAGCAGGGGCGGCAGGCATCGGCCTATCAGCCGACCGGGGACCCTGAGCTCTGAGTTCAGGGTTACAGGGCCTGCGAGCGTCAGCTTCACCGCTGACCGGGGAGCAGGAAGAGGAGCAGGACACGGAGGTGTCGGCTTCCCCGCCAACCACCGGGGCCGGAGGCGTCAGCTTCACCGCTGCCCGGGGAGCAGGAAGAGGACCCGGCCTGGGAGGTGTCGGCTTCACCGCCGACCTAGGCACCGGAGGTCTCGGCTTCCCCACCGACCTCAGCGCTGGAACCGGAGGCGCCAGCTTCCCTGCTGACCCTGGAGCTGGACCCATCGGCTTCACTGCCGATCTGGGACCCGCTCCCCGCCTTCTCCAGCTCGGTGCCGCAGGTGAGACGCGACTCATCCTCTCCGTCTGTCTCTGGAGCTCCTCCATCTGCCTTCTGCCCTCCGTCGTCTGATCTTTGTACGGGCGCAGAAGTTCCTCATCAGTCCACTTCCCGAACGGTGTTAACCAGTCCACATCTCTGGCTGTGTGAGGTCCCTGTTCAGGCGCCAGTGTGGGAATACTCGGCCCACTCCAGGTAAACAAGGGAGGAGAGAATGGCGTTTGAACACTGTCTTTATTAATGGTCGCCTCGCCTGTTAACCACACATATATATTCACGGGTTTCTCAACACACGTTCACACCCGTTCCCACACGTCCTCACGAGTCCTCAGGCTGCTCCAGTCCCAGGAACCCAGCCTACTGCAAGAGAGCAGAACCAGGTTACCAGCGTGCTCTTATTGATTGCATAATTACCTGATTCTGCCCAGCTGTCTGATCACTGGCTGAGCCACTCCTCCCTGTTGTCCAGCAGTTGGCGCCCTAACCACACCCCGCTGCCACACTATTGTAACCTTTTGTTTTGACAGTAGTTTAGTTGTTCTGTTTCTAGTTACAGTCATTTTGTTTGTTGTTTTTGGTTTAGTTCTCCCTGATGATTATTTTGTGTTTCATACTGGCAATAAAACAAATGAAAGATTTTCACCCCTGACTATTCACCCAGTTTTATGATACTCCTCTAACCCCTAGACCAGCTCAGGGACATAACAGCTGTCACATACTGGGAGAAGTCTGTGCCTTATCTTTTTTTTAGGAGGAGTGCTTTGGGATTGTTTGATAGTATACTATGGAGCCTGGACCGATATATACATGATCTTTTTTTTTTTTTTTGCAAAAGGCCACCATAAGATGATTTTTACCGCAATGGTGGACTTTGGCCAGCTCCCTGGCTGTGTGCTAGAACCACAACATCCACTTCTAGCAGAATCAAAACATGCTGGTTGAAATAAACTGGTTAGAACAACAACTACAAGACAATACTCTGATAGACATGGAAGAAAACTACACGTTAAGCTAAATGAGCCTGAATACACTGCATAGGAACCATGGCATATGAGGGAGAAAGACTGAAGCAACACCAGAGAAACGTATTTCAGCATCCCGAAATGAAACGGGTATAAACAAAAGCCAGTGGGAGAATCTGCCATCTGAGCATAGAGTAAGCTACTAAAGCTCTGTGTTGGGAGTAGCAGTGGTGAAAGTAAGCTGCTATGGTCTGGTACCCTGTACATCTAGATTGGAACGATGGGGGAAATAGCTGGCTGCTTAACCCCATAAAGTAGTGATAGGTAGATGAGGCGTCATGAAGCGTTTCAACACATTGCCAAACTGTATTGATACTGTGTTGATACTGTGTCACTGAGTGAATACTGACACCTGCTGGACCTTAAAAATCCCTACAGGCAACCTAGTTGACAGACTCAACTGACACTGATTTGATGACCTAGTATATACAATAATATAATTTAAGTAATTGTATATTATATTGTATTATTTCATATCTTCATTTAAATTTAAAATATCTTTGATATTTTTAGATATAGTCAATAAATAACGTGAAAATCTAAGTGAACGTGTTGTGAATGAGGATGCTACAAATTTTTATTCAAAAAAACAAGTTGTTCCAACGTTTTGAAATTGAGTCTGTTACGCTTTTTTGATGCAACTTCTCCAGCTGTAGAAAACACCTGCTCACACAGCACAGATGAGGCTGCAGTGCAGAGAAATTGTAAGGAAAGCCGGAAGAGGTTTGGATAGATTGTCTTTTGGTTGTCCCAGTATCTCATAGGATCCTGGGACCTGGCAATATTGTCCTCTGCCAGGTAGCTCTGCACCTCCTGGATGGCATCAGCTGTGGCACTTTTGGTCTGCCTGCCCACTTCGATGTCAAGATGTTGCCAAAGGTTATCTAAAAAACAACAAATTGGCATTTTAGTACATGATTTCCAAACAACAACAAACAAATAATGCTTGAATAACATGCCTGAAGTGGGTGCAGACAGCTGTCGTGAAGACGGTCCCGGCTGGGGCTCATTTGTGCGTCCGATTACAGACGCACATCCTGACCGCAGTCTACTGATGGCCTCATTGCACTTGGAGGAACTGCGGAACCCAAATGATTTAAATCTGGGGTCTAGAATTGTTGCTAGGGTCAAAACACTTAATGACTCCAGATTGGAAGCAGTGTCTGTGACTCGACGCTTCAGGTGTTCATGTAGGTGTATGGCTGCCTGTTTGTGCAAGGTTGAAGCATTACGCTCTCGTGCAAGATAGAGCATTTTCATCATCGGTATGATCTTTGACCCTGACACTCGCCTCTCTTCAGACAACTCCACTGTAGCTTGATGGAAAGGAGCAAGCACAAGAAGTGTTTCTCCTATGATGGTATACTCATCAGCTGTAAGTGGAGTCACATCTTTTTTTAGAGAGGCCAGAGACCCACACTGGTTCCCTCTCATCATGTAGCCTTGACAGCCTTTCATATGTGTTGTTCCAGCTTTTTGGCACCTCATTGATAAGTTTCAGGGTTGGTCGTCCCATCTGTTGCTGCACTTGGGCAAGCTTCTCCTTGGCTGTAGTACTTGAAGTATGTGCCTAGCTTTGTGTCTGATGGATGTAAGTGTGGGGATCTGATCACATGATTTTCTAACTAATAAATTAAGTCTATGTGCAATGCAAATTGAGTGCCGAATTTGGAGCTGTCTAGTGGATGCAATCATGTTTGGTGCTGCATCAGTCACAAGACACTTTACTTTATTGGTTATGGCCCAGTCCTCCATCATGCCCCTTTTGACTTGGGCCAAATTGTCAGCAGTGTGACTTTGTGGAAAGTATTGCACTCCCAACACAGATGTACACACCTGCAAATTCTCATTAATGTAGTGACAGGTAAGAGCCAAGTAAGCCTCCATGTTCACAAATGTCCACATGTCAGCTGTTATACTCACTGCCACAGCTTGCTGTACTTCCAGTTTCACTGTTCCCGTTCCTCATACTTTTTGGCCACCATTTGTTTGATGGTCTGAAAATTACACCAAGTCAAACCAAAAGCAAATCAATATATTTAAATTAAAGATTAAATAAATTGGATATATCAACTACTACTTTAGATAATTGCCACACACAAACCTTTCTGGTTGGCAAAACATATGAGGGCTGAAGGACCTGAACCAGTTCCCTGAACCCTTCACTCTCCACAATGCTGAGGGGCTGGCAGTCCTTCAGGATGAAATTCAGCAGAGCCTCATCCAGCATCTGCTTCCTGGAAGCTTGATGGTTAAAAATGAGGTAAAGGATAAATTAATAGGAATTAATTATCAATAAAGCAACTGTGAGTAAGTTGTAGAATGGCTGTATACCTGAGTTTATCCTGGGTGTATCTGGGACTTCTGGGTTATGCCTGGCCCTATAATGCCTCAGCATTGAGGAGGTGCTTTTGTTTAAATAGGAAAGTTCTGTCAAACAAATGCGACATTTAACCTGCAGAAAATAATATGAATAGTAAACTAAGAGTCACTTTGAAATGAATTTGAATTAAGATAGATCAAGTGGAAACTCTGGGAGGAACAGGATGAAACAACAAGGAAATTAAAACAAATACCTTATTTTCCCAGATGAGATCAAAATGGTCCCATACGGCGGAAACCTTTCTTTTGGCTTGAGGCTGCTCCATAATTCTTGATGAATTTGATGATGAACCGCAAAAGATCAGAGATTCTTTTGGCAGATGCATCCCGTTGACAGATACGCTTCCTTATAAACAGAGTTGGCGCATCAGTTCAAAACAGATCCTGTATCGGTCACGTGACTTTCTTAAAGCGATACGCGCACCGACAAGGGGTTCTGCTCTATGAGCTCAAAGCATGCGCCGACACATCGGTGTTGCCGGACCCATCACTACCATAAAGTACATCCCTGTTATGACACAACAATAAATGGCTGCCGAATTACTCCAGTGTGTATGTGCTCAGAGCCTGCCTGTGCTGTTGGAACCCTAATCTGTGCTGAAGTGAACTCCACCGCCTTGTTTTTATTACATTCCACAACATTAGCTGCAATTAGCCACTGCCAATTAGGACTCTTTAGGAGATAGCTCACTTGTTTCCTCCTGCGTTTATTGCACTCGGAAGTAATGTACATTAAAACCATTGTGACTGGGGCAGCATATAGCTTACCTGGTAGAGCTTCTACCCAATCAAGGGGTGTAGGATTTGCACCTTTTGGAGAAAGGGTAATAACACAGTCCTTTTCCCCTGTTTTTCCCCTGTTTTCGACAGATGTTGTACTAATTTAGATTAGTTTCATTAGAAGGCAATCCTCTGAGCAGTTAAGTCGTCCAAAAACCTTATAGAGCTCCTTATCATTGCAATGCCCCTTTCAAACATGTTAGTTCTTCATTACTTCCGGTGCCGTGCTAGCGGCAGCTCGTTGCAGCAGCTCCCAGAGTGCTTCTTACTATTTAACTTTTTCGTTAATTTTTTAAAAAATGTTTCTACTCGTTTTAAGATATTTCCCCTTGGTTAACAGTTTGCCATGGACTTTCATGCGGTTCTTCTGGCTCATCTGCTACTTTTTATTAGTTTTCGGAGGCAAGACTTACGCACAGTGGAGTGGGGGCTTTGTTTACACTCACGATCAGCTGATCGCGCTGAGTGAGCTGGCACTGCTGATCACAACATGGCCTGATATATCGAAAGATCTACGGCAGAAACGGCGGGGCTGCAGAACTGGGGCCAAAGTTAAAGCTAAGAGRAGGAGATACAAGCCATCTGTACCGACAACCAATGGACGAACTTGTTTTGACTGTCTACATCCCTCCCTCAGCTGATGCAGCGGCAACAGTTGATTGTGTCCACTCTGCTGTATCCAGACTACAGACACAACATCCCACCGCTTTTATTACTATCACTGGGGACTTTAACCATACTAACCTGAACTCGGTAATACCCACTTTTCATCAGTATGTTGACTGCCCCACCAGGGACAACAAAACAATAGACCTTTTGTATGCTAATGCACAGATGCATACACTGCCACTGCCCTTCCCCCTCTAGGCAAGTCTGATCACAACCTTGTCCTGTTGACCCTGAAGTATGTCCCTCTGGTGCAGAGGCAGCCTGTGGCCACCCGCTCAGTGAGGAGGAGTACACAGGATGCATGGCACTGCAGGACTGCTTTGAGTCTACTGACTGGGAGGCGCTCTGCATGCCACATGGGGATGACATCAACACCATGACGGACTGCATCACAGAATACATCAGGTTCTGTGAACACACCGTACTTCCAGCCCGGACTGTACACTGCTTTCCTATCAATAAACCATGGATCACCAGGGACTTAAAGATCCTCCTCAATAAAAAGAAAGAGGCCTTTAGGTGCGGGGACCAGGAGGAGCTGAGGATTGTACAGCAGGACCTGAAGGTGAAGCTGAAGGAGTGTAAAGACACCTACAGGAGGAAGCTGGAGTCCAAACTCCAGCAAAACAACATGAGGGAGGTGTGGTCTGGGATGAAGACCATCACTGGATTCAACATGAAGGAGAAACAGACAGAGGGCGAACGACATGAATCTGTTCTTCAATAGGTTCAGCTCACAGTCTTCAACACAGGCCCCATGGGCTGGCCCGGACAGTCTCAGCCCAAGGCTCCTGAGGGCCAGTGCCACCCAGCTGTCTGTTATCCTGCAACACCTCTTCAACCTGAGTCTACAACAGGGGATGGTCCCAGCACTGTGGAAGACATCATGCCTGGTTCCTGTCCCCAAGAGGAAGTCACCATCTGGACCAGAGGACTACCGCCCATGGCCCTGACGTCCCACGTGATGAAGGTGCTGGAGTGGCTGGTATTGGCTCACGTTAGACCACAGGTGAAATCCCTACTCGACCTGCTTCAGTTTGCATATCAGCCTAATGTGGGGGTGGATGACGCCATCATTTACCTGCTGCAACGAGCTCAGTCGCACCTGGATGAGGCTGGCTGTACTGTGAGAATCACTTTCTTTRATTTCTCCAGTGCATTCAACACCATTCAGCCACTGTTGCTGGGTGAGAAGCTGCAGGTGATGGGGGTGGACATGCCCACCATCTCCTGGATTATTGACTACCTGACAGGCAGACCACAGTTTGTGTGGCTGGGTCGTGGTCTGTCTGATGTGGTGGTCAGTGATGTAGGAGCCCCGCAGGGGACTGTGCTGTCCCCCTTCCTGTTCACCTTATACACCTCAGATTTGCAGCATGACTCTGGGTCATGCCACCTGCAGAAGTTCTCTGATGACTCTGCGGTGGTTGGGTGTATAAGGGATGGACGGGAGGAGGAGTACAGGGCAGTGGTGGCTGACTTTCTGGAGTGGGCCAGTGAGAGTCACCTGCGTCTCAATGTGGCAAAGACCAAGGAGATGGTGATAGACATCAGGTGGAAGACGACAGCTCCACGACCGCTGATTGTGTTGGGGGAGGAGACGGAGATGGTTGTGGAATAAAAATACCTGGGTGTGACCATCAACAACAGACTGGACTGGAAGTCGAACACTACTGCTGTGTATAAGAAGGGGATAAGCAGGCGCTTCTTCCTGAGGAGGCTACAATCCTTCAACGTATGCAGCAAGATGTTGGAGATGTTCTACCAGTCCGCTTCGGCCAGCGCACTGTTCTTTGCCGTTGTGTGCTGGGGGAGCAGCATTGGAGTCGGGGAAACTAACAGACTTAATAAACTAATTAAGAAGGCTGGCTCCATCATCGGCTGCAAACTGGACAACATGGAAACAGTGGTGGAGAGGAGGATGCTGAACAAACTGCTATCCATCATGGATAACCCCGACCACCCTCTCCACCAAATCCTCCAGGCTCGGAGGAGCACATTCGCACACAGACTCATTCCTGCCAACCGCCATCAGGTTCTATAATAATTCCTTGTAGCAATTGTAACAATTGAAAAGTTTAACTTTGACATAATACATAAGTCTCCTATTCCCATCTGCATTGTAAATTTAATTTATTCGCTGCTATTTATAATGACATGATTGGTATTCAATATCAGTTGATGTTATTCTCGTAGATTTTATATAGTAGCTAGTCTATTTTGCACATCACTGTATCACTTACTACCTGCACTGTTTTTATTACTTTATCGCTGTACCACATCTACTCTTGCACTGTTTTATGGTTTCATGTTTTTATGTTCTTATGCTTCTTGTTTATTGGAACATTCAGTAGTCACTAGTCTCCTCTGTTTTTAACTTAAACTTTTAACTTTGCCTCAATTGAGCTCTGTCTGAACAACTCTTTTTCTTTTCTTTCTTTTCTTTTTTCTTTTATTTGCCAAGTATGTTTGCACATACAGGAAATTGCCTTGGTGTCATTGGTGCACTACTTATGTACATAAAACAACAATATAAAAAACAACAATATG